CAATGTTGCTGCTTTTGCCTGAATTTTTAGAAAACCCACCAAAACTAGCAAGTATTACAGTTTTTAAAAGCTTCAAGTTTACATTAAAAGGATGCCTGACATGAAATAGTGGTTTGGGATTTGGGAAGAAGCTGGGCAAAGATTTTGTGTAAACTTTCCTCCCAGTTGTGCCAGTACACAAGTTCCAGTGACTCATTCTGAGCCTCTCCTTGCACATCATTAATTAATGAAGAGATTCCTGCATATCTCTTTGTGCTGCAGATTAAAGATTCCCGGTTCGACACTGCATCCAGGGTGCTCTAGTGCTGGGAAATCCTTTTTCTTGGTGATTTTGTGAGGTTTTTAACAGCATTGCATTGCTTTCAGGAGTTACATGTGTTTTAAAGCAACATTTGCCATCTGTGCCTCCTGAGCCCTTTTCATCTTAATGGTTTATATTACAGGAACATTTTATTACTTACTAATAGTTATTAGTGCTGGCAATACAAACTGTTTAGAGCAGCGCTGGATGTCACCTCCTGTATCAGAGATTCATGACAATGTAGAGAGCTGGGAAAAAACTCAAGGAATGTTTACGATCCTCTGGATTTTTGCAGGAAAAATGCTGCCAATACTGGCCATCGGAGGGCTCTGTGACTCACGGAGACATCACCGTGGAAATCAAGAGTGACAGCCTGTTAGATGCCATCAGTGTGAGGGACTTCCTAGTCACATACAGTCAGGTAATCCTTTAAAATTTCCAGGAGGTTGTTTTTCTCTTTCAAGGTATTTACAAATATAATTTTGTGTCCTAAATTTGGAGATTTTTATCTAAACCTAAATGTGGTTGATCTGACATTCAGAGGAAGCTTAAATGAAACATTTTTGCTTAAAGCAAAATTGAAAATTCTGGTCAGTAAAGGAGGTGGCTGATCAAAATGGCATGTGAGTTTAGGGAGGGCTTTTAATTGTTTTGTTGTGGCTGTTATTCCTAGATTTTCTACTGTCTCCCACATATATGTAAAAGAAAATTTGATTCAAGATTATTCATGGAATCACAGATTGGTTTGGGTTGGAAGGGATCTTAAAACTCATCCCATGGGCAGGGATGAGTTTTAACTCTCCAAGGTTGCTCCAAGCCCCATCCAACCTGGCCTTGGACACTTCCAGGGATGGGGCAACCACAGCTTCTCTGGGCAACCTGTGTGTGCTTTTACTTTGCTTTTAATCACAGGCCAATGGCTGTGAAATTTCAAAGTGTTGTGCAAAGCTGAGTCCATGATTTGGGTTGTTTCAGCAGCCCTTTGGATCTGGCCTGTGCAGAAGGAAAGTTTTCAACTGTTCCTACTCAGGATGAACAATCTCCCAGTTGAAGCAGATGAAACAGCTCTGCAAAGGAAAGGAAAATTTTAGAGGGGATTTATGAGCAGAGTGGTTGGGAGATTTAAAAACAGGCCTGTCAGGTCTGCACAAACTGTTTAGAGCTGTGGAACATTAGAGCTGGAAACAAGATCATCCAGGTCGATGATATATTATGGATCAGGTGGCAAATATTGTAGCAGTGCAGAATTTCTGCTGTAGATGTTCAAGGAGTGTGTTTATTACAAGATAAAAAGTGACTAAATGTGGCGTTTTCCTGCCCATAGGGTAACCAGGAGAAGCAGAGCAGGCTCGTCCGGCAGTTCCACTTCCATGGGTGGCCAGAAATCGGGATTCCTGCAGAAGGGAAGGGGATGATCGACCTCATTGCAGCTGTGCAGAAGCAGCAGCAGCAAACAGGGAATCACCCCATCACTGTGCACTGCAGGTGAGTCCCCTCTGGGCTTCAGTAACTTTTGGGGTTTGGACTTGAACTTGGGCTTGGTAAACTCTGGGATTGTGCTCAGATGTTCTGTGCAGGGCAAAATGCTGCTGGATCTTACAAACCGTCAGGAGAATAAAATATATCCCTAATCTAAGCTCCTGTCCTGTTCCTGTCCTTGAGAGCAGAGAGAAAACAATATTTTAATAATAACTAATGATAATAATAATTAATGCTGATTGGAAGCTTGGTTATTACTTGGGATGTCATAACTCAAATATGTGTTTGTCCTATGTCAGATTTTCACTTTTTTTTTTTTTTTTTGGTTTTTTTTTTTTTTTTTTTTTTTTTTTTTTTTTTTTTTTTTTTTTTTTTT